AGAACTACTGGGTTTAGAGGCGGATAAATACACCAACGTCAAAAAAATTGAGCTATACCTTCCCCACATAATCTCTTTTTCCAAATTCGCGATTACAATATTTCTTCGCAAATAGGCGTGGAAGTAAAAACATGGTACAACTGGCAAATCACAATAGATGAAGGAACTTCAAGACTGATTCAAAATGAATAATGGACAACTCGTCAATCTCTGGGATCGATATAGAGCACAAAAAAATAATATTCCTGTAACAAAAAAAAACCCACGGAGCTCTTCTACGTTATTGAAGGCACATATTTTCAACACACTGTATAATAATGGAACAAAAATAATATTTTTGGAATGCCTAATGTACTCGTATCCTTGTTGTGTAAGTCCGACTTAAAGCTAAAACTTCAAGTAATCTAAAAATGTATAACCCTGTTTTTTTATAACGATTATGTTATCAGAATTTCCCAAAACTAGTGTAACCAATACCATTGCTAAAATTGACAGAAATGCACTGAAACAAGTGCGAATGCCTCGAAAAATGTTATCGCTGGGCCATTTTGATAAAAATATGAATTTTATTAACAACACTGCGTTGGGGCAAAGAGTAGTTGCATCAAGAGAAAACGCTTTGTGGAATATATTTATAATTTTATATTGACCTTCGGTTTCATCTGGATTATACAAATTTTTGGTTACATCATCGCGTACTGATGTGATACGATAAAAACTAGCCAAAGTCGGTAAATTTGCTACCTAGCATTAAAATACGTAAGATTTGAAGAGTTTTTTTTTAACATATCATTACGCGATTTAACCAAAATTTTGCGGTCGACTCTTGGGTTATTACTGATTTACAAAAAAAAAACAGTTATCTATGTAGGAGGTCATGTGGAGAAAAGTACTTCTTAGTCCTAAACAAATAGCCTAGGTTTTTCCCTATGCCGTAACCGAAACCCATTTCCAACACCAATTTTCAGTGTTTCGTAATTATTTACAAACTGTACAAATCGTAGGATTGGCCGCGGTGAGCCCCAAGAATGGCCACCAAGGTCCCCAGACCTCAACAGTTTAGATTTCTTTTTGTGGGGCTATCTTAAGACACTAGTGTACACAAGTCCCATTAACACTGTAGAGGAATTAAGAGAAAGTAAAGTTGCAGCTTGTGATAGAATAAAAAACACTCCAGGGATATTTCAACGAGTGCGCAATTCCATGAGAAGGAGGGCGGAAGCATGCATACTAAGTGAAGGAGGCCATTTTCAACAATTTTTGTAATCATTTCGTTGGTTTTGATGTTATATTTATGGTGTCAGTTGTTGTTGTTGTTCATTACCTCTAATGTGTTTAATTTTTCCAATGAAATTAATAATAATTTTGCAAGTTAGACAATAGAACGGTTATTTTTTTACTCAAAAATGGCGCATCGAAGGAAAACTAATTCAATAGAGATCATTTGTTTTAAATTGAACGGGGAATTCAGAAATAATTTTTATTTGGCAAAAAACCATTGACGTACCATTTTTTTCTAAAAAAATATCGAATTCCATACCCGTACGTACACCATTGTTAAAGTTAAAAATTATTTTTGCATTGAAAAATATGCAGCTTTATTAACTTTCACTACGTACTAAATATCAGTAAAATATCTGAAGCGGTTCTGAAAATATTAATTGCTTTCCATTTTTTTCCTAAAACTTCAACACCCCGAGTTTTTGTAAGGAAACATTTTTGGACCATAGTTTATAAAGCAAACTAACATTAATTTTTCATGTAGATTCACACCCTTAAATATTCGCATATCATTAAGGAACACCCTGTATATCTCTCTGCATTCACATGGTACCTGGTATACACAATCCTTGGTGTTCTTTCATAGGTTTTGTCTTTGTGAGAATACTGTAAAGTGTGATGTTCCTTGAAAATCTATAGATAGATATACATAGGAGAAAAAAAAACACTTTCAGTAAGAATAAATGAGCATAAATCCAACACGAAACGGTGAGAACCGAATAAATCCGGGATAGCAGATCGCCACCAAATCACCACATAATATTTTGGGATCATGCTAAGATTTCAAACAAGGAAACACACTGGATCGGAGAAAATTCAAATAAGCGACCTTCATAATAATGAATGAAAATGTTAACAGCCATTCAAGTGTTGAAATTACACCAGTATGACTAGCGATCGTAAGAAACATCAAACAACTGCAACTCAAAGGAGAAACACGTTACCGCCAACCACCGGCCACGTTATCAAACGCTATAAACAGTCAAGAAAGGGGCATGCTCGCCAGTTCACCTGATGACGATTGAAAAAACGTCGTGAATCAAAAGACCTTATAGACAATGTAAGTCTGAGAAACAACATCCTGATAAAATCATGTGCTATCGAAATAAGACGCACAAAGCACAAAGCGAGAATCGACCACTGCGAGAGTGTTGGAACTGTATCTCAGTTGGAATTTGACAGCCGGGTCACCACTGTGACCACTAGATGCCCTCGAATCTGGTGGTATAGTAGATACTGACTACTCACCATTGAACGAACTTTTAATACACCTTTCGTTCGTCCGACCACAGACGGCTAACCATGGTACGAAACAGCTGTGGTGAAACGAAAGCTATATATATAACTGTGTAGTATCTTTAAATCTGGAAATTTACTTTTCCTCACGCGACTGCATCGTTCAGCTAACAGTCGAGTGCGAAGACACTTTCCACAAAAGTTAGAACGTTTTTTCTACCAGCGCTTAACAAGAAAAACAACATTATTACAATTTAACCAAGTATCAAATTCAATCAGTTATCACATATGATAGCTCCATTTCATTTATCTTGACAATGACTTATTTTAAACAATGAATAAATTTGACACTGGCAGGGGCATTACGTATCTGGTAAAGTGACATTCTGTCGTTTGTTTTGACATTATATAAGTCAACAGCGATGTAGGCATACCCTACTTATTCCTCGTCACACCACGGCAATCTTTGCCAAAAGCTTTTCCTTTAGTACCGCTAATGTGTACAACTCCTTGCAAGATGATCTTAAAGACCTGTCACTTATCAACTTCAAAAAAAGATTGAAGTACTTACTGAACAATTAGTTGATGACGTAGATACTTAGTCCCTGGCTATGAATTAGGTTTATGACATGGTTTACCATGCTTTGTAATGTTTATTTACCTCTTTTTTGTGAAACATTATCATTCAAATTTATGAAATACCATTAGATTACTATCATTTATATATTGTTTTTTGTATTGTTTGTTTTTTTTTTGTAGATTTTCGTGTGTACTTTTTACCTGTGCTACTCTGTACTGTGTGAATAAAGGCCTGTTATTATTATTATACTTTGAAGTTGAGTCATTAATTTTCAGATAATGATTGTAGAAGGAAGATAAACCAAAATATGTGTGTAAAAATAAAAAAAATTAAAAAAAAAATTTACCTTGTTTTATAAAGTATCCTCCCGACAAGTATTTCAGTACGGACCTGTATTTGATCGTGAGGTCTTGGAGCACCGGCATGCCGTCCCCTGTGAGGTCTTAAGTCACCTGATTCACGAGCCCGTTGTACTACATTAACAAAGGCACGAGGGGTTGGTTGCACTCGATTGGGGAACCGATCCGCATAAACATCTGCCATTTTTTATTTCGTTTGAGCCACGCAACAGACACCACTATTCACTCACGCGTTACCGACTGACACTGACTGTATACAACTGAATAAAATAATTGTAAAAACATCGTTCCAAATTCATTCGCATTTTTGTTTCCGATGCGATGAACCGATAAGGCGGATTATATCCGTTGTTGCCAAACACGAGCACATAATATTATTATTGAGACAGGGCGGTACTCAAACTTCCAAAGGGCTATAACTTTGTTACTTTAATTTTACCAGAAAAATGGTAAAGGAAAAAACATTTCTTTTGATCAGATCAACTCACTGTTAAAATAAATGACTCAACTTCGAAGTATAGGTCAGATGTCAACTTAGAACTAGCTGTTCTTCACTTGATGTGCACTCGTTTTGTAGCTGTATGTTTTGCCTAAACATCATAACGCTTCACTATCAATGTTTTTCTCTGATGTGATGTAACATCTGCTTCAGAGATAGTATTATTGGAGGTCTAAGTTGTAAGTTGTATACTATAGCTGGAAGGAAACGGCAGTTCATAGATGCATTGTGAGGAGTTGTATGCTAAAAACCTGTGTCGATGATAATTTCCTTAGTTTCTTGTCTCAAATACACATACTTGAGATGTATGCTTCATCCTGGGAATTACATATGGAAATTTTCTGAATTTCAAAAATGAGAGATCAATACATAACATTACGTGTGATGATATTTCGGTAATACTCCAATCTTTTATGCACTTGTGAGACATCACTAGACTGGAAATTTCACACTCTTTTCAAAAATCAAATAATCCAATATGGCGGCCATAAGAAAAATTAAAGTTGAGGCAGGTTGCTGGAAAACAAAAGGCATGTCATACAGGCAAATTCCGAATAATGTCACATTTTGACATCTGCCAAGTTAACCGTTATGGATTTACTGGCAAAAAACAAATTCCGCCATTTTCGGTTTTTCGCTGATATTTTCAAAATCAATTGAACGACCGTAAATCTGAAGACGGTTATAGAAAGCACCAAGTTTCTTCTAAAACTTTCCCATTCAAGAAGCGATTCTGGGACACACTGTATATGTTTTTTTACCTAATAACCCTGCCGGTGGCATTTTTACCACACGCAGTGTGAAAAAGTAACTTTGCCGCACGGGATGTGGAAAACTAGCACTTTCCAAACTGAAATGCGTGACACTATCAGCACGCTAGTAGAAAAAAGTATTATCGGCATAAGTACTTCGTAAAAGAACAATGCAATTATGACACACGCAGTCGTAAATTTGTACTATTTTTCAAATATTTTTTTACGACTACGTTCGCACGTAATACCTGGAAACGCATAAACAATATGAAGTGCAAATACTCTTGGGCCTTTGAGTGCGCGTCTTATCAATACAATCGATTTGTGATAAGAAAAAAGTCCCTCCGAATGTGGAATACCGTGAGCTCATCGAATATTTCATATAAATACGAAGTTTTCATCCCAAACACTTAATTGAATCGTTTCAATAATGTTTGGGAAGAAAGTAGTTGTGTTTAGTTTGGTGGTGTTGGCAGTTGTTTCTCAGGTAAGTTCGTTTCTTCAACAAACAAGTATAAATTGAAAACTTTGAAACGCCCCCAATCTGTAATATGTACTCAGTGAAAAATAAAATAAATAAAATAAAGTCAAAAATAGGTTTATTTCAATGAAATTTGACATAGGGATGTTAAAAATAAATAAATTAATCGATTATTTTTTCGTTATAATTGATTGTTAATAATCCATTTTCTTAATCATAATAATCGATTTCCAATAAATCGATTATGTATATAGATTAACCATATTCTATGCCTTTTTAAATGATTTTCCTTCTTTGATGAGCGTAAACAGTAATTATTGGTTAACAGTAAAAATCTACCAAAACAAAGAAATTAATGATGATGGATCCCTCGAGCACTAAAAACTCCGGACGTAAACTCACTCCACTCTCGGAATGTCCGGGTGGAGGGTGGGCTCGAGGGAACAACATCGAAGATAAAATTTGTTTTTCGAACATCTGCGGGATCAACAGCAACATTGATGCTGTTCATCACTACCTGCAATCCAATCGTCCCGCCGTGCTTTTCTTGGCGGAGACAAAAATCTCAGAGGCTGCACCGATTAACCATCTCAACTTCCCAAACTACGAGGTGCACTCCAATCTGAGAAAGAACGGGGGAGTTGTGGCTTTTGTCCGCAGCAGTCTTTCCTGCTCCAGGGATCTTTCTTTGGAAACAGACCGGAAGGACATTCTGTGGCTTCGCCTCAACTCTAAAACATCACCCAAATTTATTTGCTGCCTTTATCGCTCTCCCTCGAACCATAACTGGGATGACCTACTCGAATACCTCGCCGTCCAGATCGACTTCCTGAACATCAATCACCCCGCTTCAGAGGTAGTTCTTCTCGGTGATTTCAATGCCCATAATGAGCTTTGGTTGGGCTCAAATAAGATCGATGCAGCAGGTCGTGCAGTCGAAGCGTTCGCTCTTACTCAAGGGCTGACCCAGCTGGTGACGAGCCCTACTTTTTTCCCCCGCGTCTCGTCACACGCCAGTAGCCTGCTGGATCTCTTTCTGACCACGCATCCTGCCCCTTACAGCACTGCTGTCCTGTCCCCCCTGGGTAACTCAGATCACGGTGTTGTGGAGGTTAGGTTTCGGTCAGAAGCCGCTGTGGCCGCAGAAACTCGCACAGGCCGCAAAACTTGGCATTACGGACATGCCGACTGGGAGGGGCTCAGAGACTTCTCTCTAGCTTTCCTTCGAGAGATGTCTGTTTCACTGACGCGGAAGCGTCGACTGTCTGTTCTTCAATAACCGAAATTATCCACGTCGGAATGGAGGAATACATCCCTCACACAGTGAAAGTTCCTAAATCAGGGTCCAACGGCTGGTTCAACAAATCGTGTGACACTGCTCGCCAGCAGAAGATCAAGGCCCACAGAACCTACTTACAAAACCCCACTATAGAGAACAGACAAGCCGACGTCGAGTCCAGAAACAAATATAACGAAGCAGTTCGCAATGCCAAAACCCAGCATGATATAAAAGTTAGGCACAGGGTAATGTCGCAGCGCAATGGCAGTCGGTCTTTCTGGACGCTGGCCAAGCAGATTGAAAAGAACTTCTCACACAGTAGCCTTCCACCACTTACGTGTCAGGATGGAACTATTGTATTCGACTCAAACGCCAAGGCGGAAGTGCTAGCCAAGATCTTTGCTGCCAACTCCACCATGGACGTCCCCACCAACGCCCAAGTGCTGTCAATTCAAAGGGTTCCCCACACTATGCGGGAGGTAACATTCAGGCATAAGACCGTAAGACGAGTGCTCTGGTCGCTCGACATCAACAAAGCTTCTGGTCCGGACTCGATTCCTGCCATTATACTGAAGAGATGTGCAGCTGAGCTTGCTCCAGTTCTTTCGCGTCTCTTCCAGATATCTTATGAATCCGGCACCTTCCCAGAAAACTGGAAATTTGCTCATGTACAGCCCATCCCAAAAAAAGGATCTAAAACCGACCCTTACAACTACAGGACTATAGCTCTGCTTTCTGTTATAAGTAAAGTGATTGAGAGGTGCATAAATCGCGAGCTTCTGGACTACCTCGAACGTCACAGCTTGATTAGCGACAGGCAGTACGGCTTCCGGCACCAACGATCCACAGGGGACCTCCTAGCTTACGTCACGCAACTGTGGAGTAAACTCATCCAGTCTCATGGTGAGGCTCATGTCGTTGCTCTTGACATCACGAAAGCGTTCGATCAGCTGTGGCACGCTGCCCTCTTGAGCAAACTTCCATCCTACGGCCTCCCAGAAAAGCTTTGCAGATGGGTGGCTGACTTTATCTCTGGCCGCAAGATATCCGTCGTAATTGACGGATTCTCCTCTTCATCCCACAACGTCAACGCAGGTGTTCCCCAGGGATCGGTCTTGGCTCCAACACTGTTTCTCTTACATATCAACGACCTCCTTTCCTGCACGATCAACCCAATCCATAGCTTCGCTGATGACTGCACTCTACATGAAGGAATTCAGAGTGACAAGCCGATTTCTGCCGCTGAACTGGAAAAAAGAAGACTAGCGACGACTTCTTCTCTGACAAGAGACCTGGAGGCTATCACTGCTTGGGGACGCAACAATCTTGTACAGTTCAATGCTTCCAAAACACAGTACTGTACTTTGACGAACAAAAAGCGTCCTAGCGCTCATACAGTTTCGATGGACGGTCGAGTTCTACCAAAGAGCCATTCATTTCGGCTGGTCGGAGTCCAGATCACCGAGGACCTGATCTGGCACGAGCACATCTCTTCAATAGCTGCAGCTGCTGGGAAAAAGCTAGGCTATTTGTTTAGGGCTAAGAAGTACTTTTCTCCGCATGACCTTCTCACTCTATACAAGGCCCAGATAAGGCCTAGCCTCGAGTATTGCTCACACATTTGGGGTGCTGCCGCCCCGACTACATTGTCCATGCTCGATGCTGTCCAGAGGAGGGCGGTCCGACTGATCGATGACTGTTCTCTAACAGACAGTCTTGGGACTCTTTCGCACAGGCGGGCCGTCGGCGATCTAGCTCTTTTCTATCGCTACACCAACGGGCTTTGCTCCTCAGAGCTCTCTTCCATGATGCCGCCGCGCGATGCGCCGGCCAGACAGACCCGCCTGACTTCGGCATCCCATCCTAACCGTGTCAAACTTCGTACATCCAGAACTGGCCGATACGACCGCTCCTTTGTCCCGAGGGTGTCTAGATTGTGGAACAAACTACGGGAGGAAGCTTTTCCCAGTTCTACTAACCTTAGGCAGTTCAAAAATCGTATTAACAAAATTTCTTTGGGATCATCATAGCAGCCGCGGTGTTCCGGCATTTAGGCTTCTGCCTGTGCGGCTGTTTCGATATAAAAAAAAAAAAAAATGTCTTCCAAAGGTAAAACACCTAAAAGCGACTGGAGAAAATATTTCACAATGAAAAAGAATAGCCACCACAGTAACGTGCAAGTAGTTGGAAGGACTTAATAGATAAAATAAAAAAATATATTTTAAAAACATATTTATAAAATGGTCAAAAAATTCGAGAATATTTTTCCTCATTGGAGATATTTAAACGATAATGAAGCTCTTTTTATCTCAACTTTTCAAATTATAGCGGAAAAAGGGTGTATCATTTTTCCATGCTGCTGTCAATACTTAATACACTTTTATTTATGTGAAAACTTGAGATGGGGAAGCTTCATTAAAGGTCACATATTTCCAATCGGAAATATATATTTTCGTTTTTTTTGTCCATTTTATGAACAGCTAAATAAAAGATTGTTTTTAAAAATGCATTTTTTATTTTATTTTTTTTGTTTAGTATTTATGACGTAGAACAGCTGAATAGTTTGATAATTTCTATATAACTTTCATATTTTATTAATAGGACTACATATATAACCTCTTAGATTATTTGTACAAATATAAAATTTCGGTACATATAAATCATATAATGATAAATCGATATTTTACGGCACTTGCCATATGGAATTTAGAATGACATTCCCTTAAATATCAAATGAAGGGTCTTGATTACAGAAACACAAGTAAAATGTTGCAGTATTTGAAATAATTTTTTTGTTTTCAAGTACCAAATATACTATGAAAAGTATTTGACAAATATCAAGTACAAATAACACAGAAAATAAAGTATTTGAAGTAAAGTATTTCAAATACAGTTTTCAAGTAGTACCGACAGCACTGTGCCCTAACAGGTCTCCTAGTTAGCCCAATATAAGGCTTATTATTATTACAATCTCTGCGCTTATTTCACAAATTCCACACCTTGCTACTTAGTGCTAAATACAATCGCAAAACTGTCGACCACTGCGAATGAGATAAGCAGGTACATGTTGGAACTGTAAAAGTATTTCAGTTGGCGGTGAAAAGCTGAGTCTTCACTGTGAACGCCGTCGCATTCCAAATGCCGTTGAATTTGCTTAATTATCATTTTTTTGTTGAGATATTGCACTTTCAAATTTTTATTTTAATGATATTCACTATATTTGATAGTCTACACGTTATGATTACATGTGCATCGAAGTTGTGGTTTGGATCATAATAGACCAAATATTTAAAAACAAGTAATATATTTTTATGAAATAAAACGTGCCAACTAAAAAACCCATAAATCCTCACGACTAAATCCATAAAATACCTAAAAAATACCCAAACCACAAGACAACAACCTACTCTACCCCATCAAGGCCAATTCACTTTCGATTGAACAATTTCTACTTTCCGCGCCTACCGGCGGGCAAGTATTGTAATCCCGAAAATTTTCGAAATTGAGATATTATGTTTTTAGATTTTATATGACATGTACATCATGTCACTAATTTCCGTCTATCCGTCTGTCTGCTAATCTTATAACCGCCTATAACGTCAGAAGTACGGCTCGGATATTGATGAAATTTTCATACAATGTTGCTACTATGCCAAGGTCGCAAAAGATTTGTAGTTTTTGAAAAGCAGTCCAGTGGCGGCAATGAGAAAGGTCAAAAACAAAAAGGAATAAAAGTCGCTCAAACTCCGTTTTTTGACGTTTGGGACGGTTTAGATCATTTTTTGAAAAAATTTCAGAGGCAAAAAACTTTGGGTTGGGGGTTATAGGGGAGTGGAGAGGGTTTATCTCAATTTTTTTATGTTGGTAATTCTACGTACCTATTAGACGTATTTCACACATCATAAAACTTGCGTGAGTCACAGAGTCAACCTACTTAGCGTCATTTTTTAAATAAAAAATTACTTATTGCTGATAAAAGCCGATCTAACTAACAATATCTAAGCCCTACCCAAACCACAAGCCCTCAACCCACCTTTCTCTGTCTAGGCTGAAAGGGAAATATATTTTAAGCAAGCTTAACAGGCAAGGCACGTACTTTGAGCCAATCTCACTATTTTGCACTTTGAGGTTCGAATATCTCGGAAAGTAGGGGAGAGTCCTCCAATACCGTCACCTTAAGGTTTATCAACAAAAAATCAAAATACTTATGGTTACATGTTTAAAACCTTCTGATATGTGTAAAGGAACTATTATGCTATTAATATAAATAATAAACAACTAGTAGGTTCAGAAGTAATCAACTTTATTATTGCAATTCGAACACTAGAAAAAATCAGACTCAAAAAAATTGGCCTCCAGTACCGGCCAGTGATTAAGTAACCATTTATACAATACAATAATCGCAAATATACTGATCAGATAGCTCTGATACGTTTGCACAAGCCTCGTGGACCCAAATCTTGCAGTTTCCACATTGTATCCAATCCTCTTCGTGAGATTCGGCACACAAAGGACAAACTGTTTCTTCAATCGATCTACGAGGAGGAGGTAGGTTTTCGTTTTTATTTGTTTTTGTTTTCTTACTGACATCTCTTCCTGACAGCAAGCTTTTTCCCTTTTTAATAACATCTTTTCTGAAACATTAACTTTCTTTTTAAGTTGTTCGACATTCCTTTTATCTGCCCTTTTCTCTTCCAGCATCCTTTTGTATGGAGAACTTGTTATAATTTCACTTCTTTCAGCTTTACGACGTCTTACAGTAGTTCTTCTTTTGGAAGCATCAGGAACCGGTGACAGTTCTGTAAGTGCAGCTTTAAAATTTTCTCTGGATTTATCAGCAATAACTTCTGTTTGAGTTTCTACTTGTTGAATAGATAAAATTTCAGATTCGGCGTGAGTAGGAGTAGTTTGAGTCTCGGATTGTATAGAAGTTGTAATGTCAGCTAATAAATTAGAAGTTGGAGTTTGAGATCCAAGTTGTCGAGAGGAAATGGATGTAAGTTCTCGCTGTGTAGAAATAGAATTTGACAGATTTGAACAAGCAGATGTTGAAGGTGTCGGTTCGGTTAGTTGAGAATGTGAGAGCGATGATTCTGTTGCTGATTGACTTTCTGTAACATTCGTCATGTCGGAACCAATGAAATCTAAATCACTGAAGATATTTCTATCAAAGGGGTGTATGCCAGTGCAGTGGAAGCCATTAACCGCGATATCCATTCGCGAAACTCGATTAAAAGCAATAGCAACAAACCCTGCAATCTCGTATTCACTGATTCTAATAGCAGGGTTTGCCCTCATCCACAAGTCACATGCATCATTGTACGCAGATTTAAATGGCTTCATGAACGTACGATCCAGTGGCTGTAACTTGTGGGTCGTGTGAGGTGGGGTGCTTAACATATGAATATTATTTTTTCTGGCAAACTCAATGACATCTAAGTCTTTATGACTAGCATGCCCATCTAGAATCAAGAGTACGGGATTCTGGGCTGTTGGATTAGAATATTGCACAAAGTGTTGCATCCATTTCAAAAATAATTCGGCATTCATCCAGCCGTTTGGTTGAGCTTCACCTACACTCTCATTTGGAGCATTAATCATTAGTCTTTCATTCATTCTGTTTCGTGGAAATATGAAATAAGGTGGTACGAACTGACCTCCAGCGCTCATTGCAAAAAGCACTGTAACGTTCTTTCCACGTTCTGCTGACGTAAGCTTTCCGACTTGCCTTTGGTTTTTAGTAGCTAACACTTTAGCATGTTTTTGAACAATGCTAACTCCAGTCTCATCACAGTTCCATATTTTATAAGGTGTGAATTTAAATCTCTCCATCAAAGTCTCAAGACCATCAAAGAATCGCATAACCTGAGGCCTGTTAAATCCTACTGCTCTCATTAAACTCGTTGATTCAGCAGTTCGCAATGATAAGTCACTATGTCTTTTCATAAACGAATAATAGTAATTTTTCCCTGCAGATTGTTTCTCTTTATTGAACTGGTGAGGTAACTTTAATTTCTCGGCCAGTTGGAAAGCGAGACGTAAAAATTCTTGTCTGTTTAAAGGCATTAGCCTGTTGGCCAAGTCTTTAACATGCGATGCCAATATTTCTTCATGTTCTGGTGCAAAAGTATTGTGAAAACGACCCATAACTGGCTCAATAGACATCTCTTTATTACTTTTAATAGCTCTAACTCTATCATTCAAAGTAGATCGTGGTACCTGATAGCGTTCTGCGGCTTGACGAGCACTTATTTTATGATTCAGTACCTTTTCCACGGCCTTATGCATGTTGGCAGGATCCCAGGTGCCCTTCTTTTGCGTTGTCTGACCATCATTCCCGTGACTTGACATTTTTGTATATCTGAAAGTAAAACAAAACAATTAAAAACGATCTAATAGAATGGCCGGTACTGTAGGACAACATTATGTCCGGTACTGGAGGAAACGAAAAAAAAACTAAATTCGATTTCTAACGAACATGAATGTACAAAGGTTAATTATAAAGACACTTTTCTATAGATATATAAGTACACTCTACTTACCAGTAGTTATTTGTTTTAAACTGGATCTCTGAACTTCGAAAATTGTGAATAGAATTTTAATTACGTAGTTAGCGTCCATCACGCGCAACTAAAATCTTTGAACTGGAAGTAAACTTGTCGTTGCAAGTTAACGCCGCGCGGGGAATATCATCCCGTGAGTGTATTGCACAAATCACGATAAAAATTTCAGCGCCATCTGTTGTCAGGTTGTAGAATTTGCAACTGGCTGGTACTGGATGCCGGCCGGTACTGTAGGACTCTCCCCTAAAGCCAACTGAGAGATTTGGATTATGGATTTGGATTCAGCGCATCAAAAACCTTCTGGAACATATACTGGTTGATTCTAAGCTATCATTTATTTTCTGAATTTTTAGTCTCAAAACGACATCAAACTCCTTGAAATCAAGAGTTTTTTTTTCAATATATTATATAACGTTTTCAGAATTTCTAATTTTTTCTTTCAAAATTTCCAAATCTTCAAACCATTTACCAAATTTCAGAATTTTCCACTTATCTTAGAAACATTCAAATCCATTTTTCCAACTTTCAAAATACATTCCTTTTTTTATTTTGTCTTTCGATTTTTTTTTTTGTTTCTGGGTCGGCTTTGTTATTATACCTCCGATAAAGGATGCTTTGCACTGTTTTCGTTAGTTCTGCTGCTTGAGACCATGCCTAGACTGTGCTGATGATTGCCAATAAGCATGAAACAGCTGTGCATATACGGTTAGCCCCGTTAGTCGGACGAAAGCAGTATGATTATTAGTCATTAAATGCATTTACTTTACAGGTCCATGAAAACAAAGTCGATGACCTCCTTAGGAGACTGAAAGCCGCCGTAGACAAGGCCATGGTGCAAGCTCAGGAACAACTTGACCGATCGAAAGTTCAACTGCAACAACATGCTGCCGAAGATGTAGCTGACGGCAGAGCTCAGATTGAAGTGAGCAAGAAGGTAACCAAGAGTTGTTTGAGCAAACCAAGATACACACTATACACGAAACACACAGTAAACAGTATACACTGAAAACCAAATACCAGTAACGTCGTAACGTGTACCTGAATGCGAGGTCACGAGTGCTATTTGCACACCCTTTCTAACATACATATTGCACGTACACGTTACGACGTCAGCCAAATAAGAGCCTCAATTTGAAACTAAATGCCGACAAAACGAAACTCATGATTTTCTGTTCTGATCACTAACGAGAAAACTTAACGCTCTTTTTGAATGAGCAACTTCACTTCTCAACTAGCTGTAAGATACTTGGATTGATCATAAATAACAAGTTACGTTACCAACAAAACATTAAAACGGTGCCTCAGAGGTGTTATTTGGAACTGCGAGTTTGTATAACAATAAGCGCATCATTAACTTCAAGACGAGAAAAAAGCTGGATGAAAGTTTAGTGCTATAGATTATTAGTTATGGCTTGATGGTTTTTCATACATGCCCGGACTATTCAACTCAAAGAACACCTGTTACCGTTTTGTTTGTGATTTCCGTAAATTTGACCTCATCTCTAATAGTTTCAGACTTTTACAATGGCTTAATATCAATTTTCTATTCCAATATTTTTACTTAACAACGCTGAATCGTGTATTACATTCTAAGATCCCTGTATATTTAGTAGAAAAGCTAGATCGAGTATACTTAATGTCGATATGAGATATCAAAACCATCATCAATGCCTATATGCCTAGGTACGTACAAATGTCATATTTGTATGTCAAATTTGTATTAAGCTTCTATTTTCGCATGGTTGAGTGCAATAATAGCTTTTCTAAACTCCGCCAATAAAGCTGTTTATTATTATTATTGTAAATAGTTATTAAACAATAGCGGCATTAGGAAGTTATAAAAAATTTCCTACTTTTTGGCCATTGGGCAATCGTAGATTCAAAAGAACTGGAAACCAGAGTCGCCAACTTAAAACAAAACTATTACAGAAAACAATTATTCATGTTTAGGTATTCAAACAGTACAACTTCTTCACTTCTCCATTTGACAGACAATATCTTAAATAATATGGATAAACATATTAATACAGTTTTAGTTATGGTCGACTCTCTAAGGCGTTCGACACTGTTAACCATAAAATTTTGTTGAGTAAGTTAAAGTATATTGGACTTTCTGACATTCCGCTTAAATTTGTTGAAAATCAATTAACTAAATCGTAAACAAAAGGTGAAGACAGTTAGAGGTGTCTCATCTTCTGTTGCCGTTTCTTCAGGGCCAACATCATTTGTAAAAGACACATGTTGAAGATTAATCCGGATAAGAGTACTTGCATACTTTTTTATCCTAAACATTTGCATAATAGAGTAAGGGACAAAATTGCATTGAGCACCAACAACGAGCTCATTCCTATTGTGGAACAAGCAAAAAATCTTGGTGTCATCTTCGACTCTAGTTTAAGATTTGACAAACATGTGTGTCATCTATCGAAAACCACCTACATCAAATTAAGACTGCTATATGCTAATAGATTCATTTTGAACTTTAAAACGCGTAAGAAGCTAGTAGAAAGTTTGATAATGTCCAGCCTCAACTACGCTTTAACTTTATACTATCCTTGTCTTGACTCGATGAATCGGTGTAGGATCCAAAGAATGCAAAACAACTGTTGTAGGTTTGTGTATGGTCTTCGAAAATATAGTCATATCTCCTCTATAGTAAGATCAGGGAGTTGAAATGGCTGAAAATGGATCAACAATTTGAATATAGTCTCAAGGTATTTGTGCATAAGATATTGTGTACTAAAAAGCCCATCTACCTCCAAGGTAAATTGGTAACTAGAGTAATCATTAATCTTAGAGCTCTGGGGCATAATAATAGTCTGACAATGTTTCACTTTCAATGCTGTGAAGTTATACAACTCAACCGACCCTGCCTGGAGAAGCAAAAGTGTAGTATCATTCAGGAAGCTGGTTAAAAATCAGCTGTCAGATGTATTATAATTAGTAATTATATTTATGTTTTTTTTGTGTTGTCATCCGTTCTGTATTAATTCTTGACTGTTTCCTTTTTGGCAAACCAATATAGCGCGGATTTATCAATTGTTTGTTTTTTCACTTTATTATTAGTTCTCTTAGTTGAAAGCCAGATCGATATATTTATTTTTAGGTTGCATATGTATTACTTTGAATTGTATATACATATTTAAGCACACAATAGGGTTGGGTGTAAGAGTAGCCAACTGGCTAAACTTCGCCCTATTGTTGTGTTGCTAATAAAGGCATTTATTATTATTATTATATAAATATCAATATATCGATAAATTGATGTTTTTTTTAGTTTTGTATAGCTTAATGAGCTAACAGAAAAGGAGCTTTTAGACATCGACTGTAAAATTTCGTTATCCTTGTGTGGTAATTAACGATAACTTTCAGAAGAGTTTTTGTGAGTACCGCCTACCTTCAACATTCAGTTTTACAACATTTAGTTCCTCTACTATATGAATTACAAATCGAAAATCATCCAAGCATACAACAAACTCAAACATATCTAGAAACACCAAATCAATAAAGAAATTTTAATGTGCTGTGAAAATGCCAAAGCAAAAATGGCCATAAAAAATTTGCATACACATTAAAAGAAGTAATCTTTGTTCAAACGAATCTATATTAAATCGAGAGTCGTGATTATAATTATTTGTCTCTAAAGCTCTAAAACATATTCCTTTGTACTGAGATTCATCCCTTATTTGTAAGAACTCTATTTGAAACAATATTACCTTATTTCAAGTAACTGATTTCGAATCAGTGTCATCACCTTGGAAAAGTGAAAATAGCCTTTTGTGGATATATATATATATATATACACAAAGTTGGGGTTTTCCTTTACACGACGTGTAGATCTTGAAAACATAAGCAATTTTTCTTAGTACCATATACACCAATGTCTTAAGGGAACCGAGATAAAGGGCTCTGCAACATCAAAAATATCTGAATACCGTCCTGTAGCCGCGACATCCCCGAGTGGTACTAGGACACTAGCTCAACCCAACGACAGAACTGGGTCGGGGTCAGTGTGTCAGGTCAGTATGCAACCTTCAACCGACGGTTACGGTCACGCATGTAGAGGTAATCGCGTAGACGAGAATCCCTCAACAAGCACTAGAGACGTGGCTAGAGAAGTGCAAGTATCAAAAACTAAAGTGTGGCAAACGCTGCGTGAAGAGGGGCTGTATCCGTTTCACGTCCAACGTGTACAACCCCTTCAACCTGACGATTTTCCAGCAAGAGTGCGGTTTTGTGAGTGGTTGTTGCATCAACATGACAATAATCCGGACTTTTTGAAGTGCATATTGGCGACAGACGAATCTACGTTCACGCGTAATGGGGTGAATAACTTTCGCAACACTCATGTTTGGTCAGTAGAAAATCCGCACGCTGTCCGTCGGGCACATTTTCAATAAACATTTTCGGTGAATGTTTGGGCTGGCATGGTGAACGGTATGCTCATTTGTTACCTCTGTTCGTGGTCTGCACCACCCCCTGCGTCTGCTCGGTAGCGCATCAGCTGATTTCATTTTCTGTTGGAGCGGTATGATTACGGGCAGAGACGTACTTAGCCGTTCTCGTCAACTGGAGAGTGAATACTTTTTCCTTTATTTTTTTTACTTGGTCGCCCTCGTTTCACTACACATTACCTCTGTTATTTCAAGGGTAGTTGTTTCTGAAAAGGAAAACCCCAACTTTGCGGACACCCTGTATATATATATATATATATATATGAAAAACTCCAGCTTTTAAAATCCAGTCGTCTACACTCTGTCAACGACGCAAGACAACACATCCAGTCGATTTTAGAAAATCATTAGGAAGAAGTATATCTAACATACATAACAATCAAAATCATGCTCAAACTTTTATGTAGTTTCCATTCCTAGAGCCTTACAAAGAGCGCTGCAAAAAGCAGCTTGAATCATATACCGCTGAAGCTGGGTAAGACATACACACAATGATTACGAATCTGCTTCAGCAAAAAAAATATACACAGTTCCAAGGTCTAAAAGGCAACAATTTCCGCCCTGTGAAATCCGTAGTTTTCAATTTTTTTAACAATTACCAGAAATTAGGCATTCGAGACTAAATAATACAAAAACTATCTAAGAAACGTATGAGAATTCGACCGATGTTCGTAGTTTATACTTAATTTAAGCTAATGAAATCATAAAAGATGCAACAAAAAAACAACAGCTTCTTTGAAAAATCAAAAGTTTTCACTTTCAACTTTTCTTAAAACATAACTTTCTAGCACTAGACAATTAAAAAAGGAATTGAATAGTTTAACTCCATACCTTACTTGTGTTGCTAATAGAATTTGTAGTTTCGAATGTTTTATACTGATTTAATATAAATTTAATATTAACTTAAAATAATTTTTTCAGGGCTACGTTGATCAACTGGACAAAATAAAGGCTGACAACAAAGACAAAGATATTAGCTCTTGTCTTGGCGAAAATGAAACAAAACTAAATAACCTTGTGACTGACTATGGAACCCAGATGGACAACTGTGTGAATGACAATATCAATGAGGGAACCAAATACGCTCAAGATGCATTAGATCGGGTAAGATAGTACTTACAAATTTGAGTATGCTTTTCATAGCGCTACATGGCAGTATTAGGGAAAAATCATTTTGTATACAGGTAGGGTAATTTCAAAACGGGACAGATGATAATCAGTGAAGAAAGCTCAATTTTATACACATACCTATAGCTCTAATTCCTGTTATAAGTAAGAACAGGAAGTATGGTTTCCAACATCAGCTATCAACAGGCTGCACGACTGCTTCAGTATAAAAAATAAATATGAATATTATCATACAGGGTGTTCGTCAACGATATGCGAGTATTTAAGGGTGTGACTCTACATGAAAAATTAATGTTAGTTTGCTTTATAAACTGTGGTCCAAAAATGTTTCCTTACAAAACTCGGGGTGTTGAAGTTTTAGGAAAAAATGGAAAGCAATTAATATTTTCAGAACCGCTTCAGATATTTCAGTGATATTTAGTGAGTAGTGAAAGTTAATAAAGTTGCATATTTTTCAATGCAAAAATAATTTTTAACTTTAACAGTGGCGTGCGTACGGGTATTGACTTCAATATTTTTTAAGAAAAAAATGATACGCCAACGGTTTTTTGCTAAATAAAAATTATTTTTGAATTCCCCGTTCAATTTGAAACAAATGATCTCTCTTGAATTGTTTTCCTTCGATGCGACATTTTTGAGTAAAAAAATAAAAACCGTTCTATTATCCCAGAAAATTAATGTAATAATTGAAGAATGCAATTGCAATAAATATCTAGTTGCTCTGGAATATGTCACTGGCTTTTGACATCTGGCAAGACTCTGTTATTCAAATCTGTTCGCTGTGACATCTTTTTCATTATTTCGTTTTTACAATCTTGTTAAAAATGGTGAATTATTCAAATGCAGAAATGGCGGAAATGTATTACGTATATGGCCTTGCCAACGGTAATGGTGAGCAAGCTAGACGGATTTATCACCAGAGATATGCCGATCGTGCTTTGACAGATAGTCGAACCTGTTCTAATATATATTCATCGTCGTCTTGATGAAACTGGTTCTGTCCGAAAAGGAACATCTGAAGGTAGACCTCTAAGTGTGAGAACACTTGAATTTGAGGAAGCAGTGCTGCACGAAGTCGAAAAACATCCTGCAACTAGTACGAGGAAGAACGCTAGACACTTAAATATTTGCCATCAAATTATTTGGAGAATTTTAATGGATCTGTTGTTATATTCTTACCATATTTTCAGAGTACAGGCATTACTTCCCACTGATTTTCCAAGGCGTGTGACCTTTGGTCAGTGGTATCTACAAAAAATTACACAAAATCCGCAATTTGAATCAATGATATTGTTGACGGAAGAAGCTAATTTTTCTCAAAATGCCATTCAGAATTTCCACAATAATCATTTGTGGGCAGAAGAAAATCCCTATGCCGTAACCGAAACCCATTTCCAACACCAATTTTCGGTCAACGTATGGGCAGGAATTTTTTTATTGGCAACCACTTTATTGGCCCATTCTTCTTGCCGGGACGACTTGACGGACAGACTTACCTCAATTTTCTTCAACAACAGTTGCCTTTGCTGCTTGATGATGTTCCGTTAGTAATAAGAAACAATATGTGGTACATACATGATGGTGCACCAGCGCATTTCAGTGTAGCGGTTCGTAATTATTTACAAACTGTTTATCCAAATCGTTGGATTGGCCGTGGTGGGTCGCAAGAATGGCGACCAAGGTCCCCAGACCTCAACAGTTTAGATTTCTTTTTGTGGGGCTATCTTAAGACACTAGTGTACACAAGTCCCATTAACACTGTAGAGGAATTAAGAGAAAGTAAAGTTGCAGCTTGTGATAGAATAAAAAACACTCCACGGATATTTCAACGAGTGCGCAATTCCATGAGAAGGAGGGCGGAAGCATGCGTACATTTTCAACAATTTTTGTAATCATTTCGTTGTTTTTAATGTTATGTCTATGTTGTCAGTTGTTGTTCATTACCCCTAATGCGTTTAATCTTTCCAATTAAATTAATAATAATTTTAATATATATATATATAATATTAATTAAACATTAATTTTGCATGTAGATTCACACCCTTAAATATTCGCATATCATTAAGGAACACCCTGTATTACTCGTAGCATACTCTTTATCATTTTTGGTTTGCTCGTCAAGGTAAGCTCATCCAGTTTTGAAATTTCCCAACCTGTATATTTATAACTACAAGTATTCTGCCTTTCGCTCTGAAGTCAGAGTTACTGGTCTTTTATGTATTGAAACAAGGGACACACTAGTTTGTTATCAGGAATACGTAAGGAGGAGTCGATACGATTCACCAGGAGTGACATCATTACTTTAAAATATTGTTTCGACGTAAATTCACAGCGAAATAACTTACAAGAGAACAGTGGGAGTCAGGTGTGTAGTGAGGAGTCTAATAAACAAGACGCTGGATGGAATTGATCTTAGAAAATGTGAGAACCGCACTTTATCAACATATATCAACTGTGAAAAGGTTATCCGAATCTTGCCGGACCACTTTTTGGTAATTTTTTTTCAACCACCTCTTAATTACAAAAAAGTTTTTTTAGCACCGACCATTTTTTTTCTGATTCCTCTGGTCATTCTAAACAAAAAAGGTCCTTAGTAACTTTTCTCTAAAGTTAGTCTTTTTCAATCCATAAGCCAATTATGGTCTCCAAAAAACCCTAAAATCGTCATCCCCATCGTCAATGATTAAATACTCTGTGAAAAATCAATGTTTTTAAGGTTGCAAAGTATATAGATTAAATCTAAATCCTCCCCCTATAAGACCCCAAATAGTAATTTAAGATTAATTTAAGTGATAGCGATTTTTAGGCTAGTTCATTAGGCCCTAATTGGCGAACTTTTGATTTTTGCAGACTGTACACAACACCATTAAATTGGAGGCGAAACCAACGTTTTTCTGCTTCATTTAATAAGCCATCATCCCTTTAATTATGATAAATATAAATTAATTAAAATGAACATTCAAGTCGCTCTATAGCACGTACTCTACCGATTTCCTTTACACTTAAGAGGGGGGAGCTAAAAGAACGTGGCCGGCGAAGAGGCATGTAGTTGATAACGGCAGATCGTTAGAGTTTGTACTTTCATTGTGAATCAAATCTACTCAACTTCATTCAGTAAAATCGGAAAGTTTAGAAAGTGTCCCTGTGTTTTTAGTAATTCAAAAACCAGTCGTACAAACTCACATAAAGGTTAAATCAGAAAAAAACTTATGAACAGGAGAATAAAAAAGTTTGAATATGTTTAGAAATCGTTCAATTTGCGTTCTTGACCCCCCTGTATAAACTATCAAAAAACTGAAAAACTAAGTAGATAGGGAGAAAGTTCAGGGTCACAAAATTCCTCTGACGAAAAATTCAGTATTCTAGCTACAACAGTTCCGGAGGTGCGAGTTATCAAAGTCGAATGTTTTTCGATGGATTGTCCAATACGTAGGACGTAGTCATTGGCGTCAACAACTAGTTAGATGAAAGTATCTTTTTCTGGACCTCAAAAAAGTATTGCAAAGTGTACTTTTGAAATTTTGTTCCCAAGCTTTCGATAACCTATGTGATCATCATCAGGAGCTACAAATATACTAAGTGACATATAAATCCGAACACCCAGTTTAAATGGTTTTATTTTAATAAAAGTTGGTGAATGTATTTATCTTACTGTAAGTAACAAGTGAAAAAATTTTCAGCCTTATCAGTTGGACATTCCGGTTTTTATACTGCTTTTTTTTAATTCACTAACGCTCTAAAAATGAATATTTCAGCCGCAATAAAGAATCAACGTTGGCGGATTTTGGTTCTTGACATCCTTTACGATCGGTTACGATGCCTAGAATACGGAGACCTGTACGATTTCGTCAATTTAGTGAGTTTGATAGGGGCCGTATAGTGGGACTTCGGGAAGCTGGACTTTCTTTTCGGGCAATTGCAGTTAGAGTGCAAAGAAGTGTAGACACTGTGGTTAGGTGTTGTCAGGCATGGCTTCGAGAAGCTCGTACGCAAAGAGCAAGGGGCACTGGACGCCGCCGTAGAACAACAGACCGTGAAGATCGCCGCCTAAGATTATTGGCCTTAAGGGACCGTTTCTCCACTACCAGGTCCATTGCAAATGAATGGTTTGCAGAACACGGAAGACCTATTGGCATGCGAAGTGTTTACCGACGAATGAGAAGTTTTGGCTTGTTTTCATACCGGCCACACTGGGCACTCCCTTTAACTCGAGAACACCGACGTAATCGCCTTAAGTGGTGCAGACAACGGTCACTCTGGGATCAGGAATGGAACAGTATTGTCTTTAGTGACGAGTCTCGATTTTGTTTAGGCATGCACGATGGTCGTGCCAGGGTTAGAAGGCGACGTGGTGAAAGGAGGAATCCACAGTTTTTTGTTGAAAGACATGTTCATCACAGTGTTGGAGTTATGGTTTGGGGTGCTATAGCTTATGGTTCCAGGTCACCTTTAATCTTCATCAGAGGTAACATGAACGCGCAGCGTTATATCCACGAAGCTCTAGAACCCCATATTTTACCCTATCTTGACACCCTGGCAGATCCAACTTTCCAACAAGATAATGCCCGACCACATGTTGCAAGAGTCACAATAGACATCTTTCAACATAATGATGTCACATTGTTACCATGGCCACCAAGATCTCCCGACTTATCCCCAATTGAGCACGTGTGGGATATGATGGGTAGGAGATTGCTCAATTTGCAACGTCCTCCTCAAACTCTAGAAGCACTTCGAGAGGAGTTGGTGGTTGCCTGGAATGAGATACCACAGGAGGATATTGACCACCTGATCAGAAGCATGCCTAGGCGCGTTGGAGAATGCGTAGCACATCAGGGTGCATCCACACATTATTAAAGGTCAACGGGCTTTAAAGCAGTGCAATCATTTTGAAATTTGTATCATTTACTTATTATGCTTCATTAAGTACTTATACAAAATTTTATTAAAATAAAACCATTTAAACTGGGTGTTCGGATTTATATGTCACTTAGTATACATTAAATAGCAACTACATTCAATTAGCTGATCTTAAAGTACTTACAAGTAATTGATAAACCGATCAAAACTGGATCCATTATACTATTTGTTAATAGAATATGTATATACCATTTGTTAAAAGTATCATGGACCCAGTTTTTGTCAGTTTACTGAGGATTCTCATCCACTTTTTTAAGAACATTTAGCACTATTCTTAATTACTTTTGCAAGTAGTTTAAGATCAGCTAATTGAAGGTAGTTGCTATTTTTCAAACTTATTTGTAAAGTTTCACTTTGCATTACTTTGTCGAGCTCCCAAAAAAGACTATTCCATCTAACTGCTTGTCCAATATCTCGATTTTAAAATAAAACCCTATAGTATCTTATATCAAATTGCTTCGTTTGAAATGGCCTATCCAAATCTTCTGTAAAATGTAGGCCTTTCCATTTAAAAAATGGCATCACCGAGTAGGAATACAAATATTTTTCAAGTAACAAGCATATTGTTGGCTACAATTTGTGTGATTAACTTTTTTAGGTTACCATGTGTAATAAAGAAGTTATCGACCAAGTTCGCACTAAAAAATCACCCTGTAGATTAAATTCTTGAACAAATTGCACAAATAAACAATACTGTTATTTCAGGTAAAGAAAATAGTGAGCGACGTCGAGAACATCCGTCAAGAAATCAAGGACTGCGGACATGGCTGGAAAGCTGCGAAATGCATTGCCAAACTGGCCGTAAGGATCGAAAAGGAGATTACAAACTTGCCTACGATTATCGAGGGCGACGTTGTAGCCACAGCGGCCAGAATTGCCCAACTGGACCCAAAACTAAAGGGCTGCGCTACTGACAAGGTGAACGAAGCAAGGACACAGGGGCAGACGCTTTTGGACACAATCAAGCAGTGCGTTGCGAATATACATTGAATTGTTGCTAATTAGGATTGATTAAATTGTTTATTGTTTTATAGAAAACGGAATTTGACCTTTCTCCTCCCCGACGGTTCCTCTTCTGTGGCCAAACGTAAATGCTATGATGCCAAACTTTTTAAACCCAGAACAAGAGCCAACTTAATCTTAGGGAACGCGCTACTGTTTCAGGTAGATGTGAATAGGATATGCCACAAAAGATTTATGGTTTCTAAATTGACTTGAATAATACCACACATTCTGTGAAAAATGTTTTTTTTAATATGAAGCAGATTTGATTTTTTAAACAGTACGTCATAGAATCTGTTTATTGCATTTTGCAAAGCACGCTGAAAGCTAACAGCTTCAATATTTTGACTTCCTACACCACTGGGCGAGGAAGTATTGTGCAGTCGCGAAAAATTTCGAAAATGAGTTATTTTGCTTTTTGGATGTTATATAACATGTACATCACGAAAAAGCATGTCACATTTCCGTAGGTCTTTCTGTCGGTCTGTCTGTCCGCTAATCCTTGGACCTCCTATAACTTAGGAAGTACCGCTCGGCGTTGGATGGTCACCATTATGCCAAAGACGAAAAAACTTTGTTATGATATTTAAAAAAGGTGAAAATTGTGATGTTGAAAACTATAGGCCAATCGCGCTATTAAGTATTTTCTCGAAAATCATTGAAAAAGTGGTTGCAATGAAAATTGAAAATTACTTTCTTAAATTTGCTATTATCACATATGCTCAACATGGTTTCAGGGCAGGCTACTCAACTGCAACAAGCATTATCGAGTATGTTCAGTATGTTTGTGATAAACTTGATTTAGGTAATTACGTAGTGAGTATCCAATTCGACTTGTCTCAGGCCTTTGATTGTGTAAGTTCGTCATTTGTGGTCGATAAACTTCATCATGTTTGCATTCGCGGCTGTTTGAATCAATGGCTAGTTAGCTTTTCAGAGAATAGAAAATTTTATGTTACTGTCGCTGATAAAAAATCTGATGAAATCAATTTAGATTGGGGCACACCTCAAGGCAGCGTTCTTGGACCACTTATTTTCTCGATTTTCATAAATGATTTGCATGCACACTTATCCTACGGAAAATTACTTTTGTATGCAGACGACACAAATATCATTTTAGCTGACTCATCGCAAGATCGTCTTCAAGAAACAATTAATGATTCGGTTAATGAGTTCAGTCAATGGTGCTTCAAAAACAGACTAATAATAAATACAAAAAAGACCGTTTCAGTTGAATATTTTATGAAAACAAAAATTCCGTCAAATTTTAATTTCAGTCTTCAATGCAAGACAGTTGTAACTTCCAAAAAAACTGTTTTTTTAGGTGTAAGCTTTGATTGCAATTTAAGATGGACAGAGAAAATTGATTCCGTATCTAAGAAACTTGGAAAAAGTCTGTATTTAATACTTACGCTAGGGAGGATGTTAAACACCTCAGCATTAATGGATGTCTACTATGCATGTGTACACTCTGTCATTTCATATGGCATTACTGCGTGGGGCCAGGCTAGTGAAATCTCTAGAGTGTTTGTCTTACAAAAAAGAATCATTCGCATTATATTTAAAATACGGTCCAGATCCTCCTGTCGTGAGATATTTGTTAAACACAAAATACTTACAGTAGCATGTATGTATCTTTATAATCTTTTAACATATATTTTTCAGCACAGAAATGATTATCTTAAGCATACTGACATCCATGACTACAGCACTCGTAATAAAAATAATATAGTTAGGCATGTGTCATATCATACGTTTCATTCAAAATCTCCCATAACAGCAGGAATATACTTTTTTAATTTATTACCTCCGGAGATCAAAAACGTAAACTCCGTAGGGCTTTTCAAAAGACGTTTGCGGAACAAGCTATCGGACTGCGGTTTTTATGACCTAGGTGAATTTGTCACATTCCACAGTGCTTCTGATAGATCTTAACAAATAATTTATTGCCATGTGTGTATCATGTGGTTTTTTTTTATGTTCTTATTTATTATATTGTTATTTGTATTTTACTTCCTTTTATCTATATTTTAATCTGTATACACCGACTTATCCAATGTCTACAATGTAGATCTAACTGGATCAATAAATGAATATGAATCTGAAAATCGGTGCAATGGCGGCAGAGTTGGGGGTTTTTGACATTTGAGAGGCTCCCGATCATTATCAAAAAACAATTGTAGTGGCATTCCATCTCCAAGATGGCATAATTAGAATTTCAATAAGTATAACGTTTCGTCTTTTGTCCTCCACCAACTTTTTGAACAGTCGAATAGACATTTTAATTCTGATTCTAAAAAGGAGTAATGTCATAAATTGACAATGCCAAAGCTCAGTGATTTCAAAAAACAGAATTGCCCATGTAGGCTTTGAAATCATCAGATTGTCATTTGTTTCATATCATCATCTAAGCATTCCTTCAGTTTTTATAAACTAGGCATATGTGAATAGCCCCTATTTCCGGTTTTAACGATGTTTTGATGATGAGATAAATATCACGACATGACAATATTTAAAGCTTCAAATGTCTTCCTATAGTTGGTCGTAACTCATCAAATAGGCAACAATATAATGCTAAAACTTTTATATTATTTAAGGGTGGTATTGAAAACAGTATTACTTTATATAAATGATAGAAAGCTCTTGGGAATAAATAAAAGCCTCGAACTTCCTAAACATATTTTATATCTGCCATATCTAAACCGATGCACACATCTTGCATTCAAATACTATTAATCTGTCATATTTTTTTCTTTGTTTGTTTCAGATTTATTTAGCATTAATGCAACAATGTTCATAATATCCATATTACACAGTATATCACAACATATATTATGTCTTCAAGACTACATATTTTTATACAAAATTTCACTACTATGAATTCTGGTTTTCCATGAGATATTTTTTCAATTTCCCTTTGAACATTTTCAAACTGACACACATCTTGATGTCATTACTTAACTTATTAAATTCGTACAATCCCTTTTGAAATACTGACTTGCTCGTTATATTGCTACTGCAGTTTTGTAAATGAAAGTCTATACTTCCTCTAGTAGAATAATTGTGGCAGTCATTGTTCAATACAATAAAATTTTCTAAGTGATTTGGTAGAAGATGATTTTTCAACTTGAATAAGAAAATGAAAACCAAGTAGGCTATGAAATTTTTGATATTTAACCATTGTAGTTCTTTCAGCATAAAATTTATTCTAGTATATTTATTTTTGTTTAAGATGATTCTCATAGCTTAATTTTGTAATATTTGTAATTTTGAAAATACAGTTTCATTTGCAGTGAACAAAATAGTCGAACAATATAACAAATGAGGAAGAATGATAGTGTTGTACACATTTTTTTTAGAATAAACGCTTAGGCTATGCGAAATTGTATAAAAGTAATTTATTTTCTTGGATATTTTTGAAATAATATATTCATAGTGCCCTTCAAATTTTAATTTACTGTCTACGAATATGTCCAAATATTTAAATGATTCGATTGACACAATTTTTTCATGATTAATTGTAAGATTTATCGTATTTTGATCTAAAGATTTTCCTATTATCATATATCATATATTTTGTTTTGTTTGTGTTTAAGTTTATTTACATTTAACCAATTTATTACGTTTTTCATATCATTATTTAACAGCTCTATTGCAGTTTCAATTTCTTTATTTGATATATATATATATATATATATATATATATCGTTAATATATAAAATAAATAGTAATGGACCAAATTTGCTACCCTGTGGCACACCTACCGAAATGTTTTTAATGTTTGATAATGTATTGCCAATTTTAGTTCTTTGACTTCTATTCATTAAATAATTTTGTAATAAGTTGAATACTCAACCTTGAAATCCATAGCAATGCAATTTCGTTAACAATTTCTCCCTGTCAATAGTCTCAAATGCTCTCTTGAAATCTAAGAACAATGTTACTGTAAACTTTTTTTCATCCGTATTTCGCCTCCATTCTTCTACTACCATTTGAATTGCTGTTTCAGTAGAAAACTTTTTTCTGAATCCTGCTTGAAATTTTGTAAATAAATTCGCCATACACTAAACAGTGATTCACTAACAATAATAACTTCTCTCCTATAATGTTGAAAGATTCATTCATAACCATTTTTGAAAGATGTTCACCAGGATTTCTATTCGATTTCAATCTTGTAATAGCTTTTGAAAGATAGCTGATATTTATTGCTTGGAATTTTCTCATAGAAGAATTACAAGTAACTTGCATGTGACATAGATTTGAATCCCCATCTTCGATTGATTCCACTATCTCGTTTATACTTTCTATAAAATAAGCGTTCATTCGTTCTGCAATCAATATTTTTTGTGTTACTATACCATCTTCGAAGCACATTCTTGATAACTCATTCTTCCTACTGAGAGATACAATATTTTTTAGTGTCTTCCACATCATTTTACTGTTATTTTTATTGCTATCGATTTTGTTTCCATAATATTTTTTCTTTTCGTTCCTAAGATTTGTTAAGCACTTGTTTGTTGATTTCTTATATTGTATCCAATCTTCCTCAGTTTGGGTGATCATAAAATTTGTATAGTCATTATAACGCGTCAATTTAAAGTCTAGAAATATTTTTGTTGGCTTTTTCCTTTGATATACCACTTTCCTAATTTGTGCGTCTCTCATGCAGTTCTCCATAGAATCCATAATTTTTGAGAAGTAAGTGTCAGCATCATTAAACATTTCAGTGATATTGGCTTTTAAGAGTGACTCTCGTAACGCTTCAAAGTCAATAATTGTGATTTCTCTTGATTCTCTCTCATTAAATATACAGGGTGTTTCAGTTTATTGTTGCATAACTTATCTCAAAAACGGCTAACTATAACGAAAACTCACAGGAGAGCTTTTTCATGTTGAAAAGTGCGAAAAATCAGTTTTTTTATTCAAAAAGCAAAAAATTGCACTAAGAAATAATTTTCGGTAATTTTAATACACTACAGGTACAGTAGAGAGCGCCCTCTAGCGGCTACAGTAAAACTATGCCCATGGTTCGTTTTGTCGTACCAAAAAACCCTTGTATATCAATTTTCACTGTTATACATCAAATATTGTTCGAAATATTTAAAAAAAAAAACTATTTTAGAACGTAAATTTAAACACCCTGTATTTCGGAAGCCACGCATTTTTCGACCCATGTTTATATAGACTTTATGCATTAATTTTAAAAGTTCTATCGTATCTTAGAGTTATGCAACAATAAACTGAAACACCCTATTTTCCTCCTCGAAACATATCCACGAATGGTCGCTTATTTTCGGAGTATGTAAAACCTTAATACTCAAATTCTGTTCATTGGTTATTATTAAATCGACCTTAATTCGTGAAAAGTTTGTAATCCTTGTGTAGTCATTAACTTTTTGCCATAGACCATAAAAGTTCAGTACTTGTTTGAAGTTTTTTACATAAAAATCTTGATTATCAAAATTTATATTGAAGTCTCCCAAGTGCACAGTGGAGCAATTTCGATAATATTGTTTTTCACAAACACTCTCGAAAAAGTCCAAAAATCGGCTTGGAGATCTGTAGTAAACGTGTACATGTAATTGTGTTTCATCTTCATTTCAAAATTAATATACCACCATTGATAATCAACAACTACAGCATTATGTGTTTTTACTTCAATCATACTCAGTTTATATTTTATTATGCCCCCTGTATGTTTCGAAACTGTGTTTACTCTTATACCATCATAATCATGAATATCAATCTCCATATCTTCAATATCTTCTGTAACATGTCTTCCAGTCAAGCAAAGAACAAATGGTTTCACTAATATTAAAAAATTTATAACGTCATCCCTGAATATTTATATGGTATACATTGTTAGAATATTTTTTGTCCTGTAATTGCTATTTGTCACCATAAGAAAGTTTATTTTTTGATTTTCCATATTCGATTTGGACCATGTTGCAGGTATAGTGGAAAGA